CTCCGACACCACCGATCGCAGCTCCGAGTCCTTGCCCTGGTCCTTCTTCTGCTTCGTGCGCCGGTTCTGGAACCAGACCTTCACCTGCGCGCCAGGCGCGGGGAGCGGGGGGAAGAGGAGCAGGGAAGACGGGCGTCAGGAGAAGCAGGCTCCGGGGTGCGAGGGCTGGGGGGGCGGGGAGGGTTGGGAGAGGGCCTTCCCGCAACCCCAGCCTTAGCCCCAGTCCTAGTCCCACCCGCGGCAGGAGAGGTCCGGCTGGGAGCTGCCAGGGGGAGCCAGGACCCCCAGGTGGGGGACACAGCTCTGCTAGGCTGCACTTCCGGGTCATGGAAGCAGGCCCAGGCTGGCCAAGATTCCCAATAAAGTAATAAAAATGTCCACAACCTTCACTTAAAAGAAGACCAGAAGGGATTTCACTGAGTCATCGCTGACCTGTGCCGCCTGAAGATGCTGTGCGGGAAGGGGGAGTGGGGGTAGGTGGGGAAGTGTCGCCCTGACTATCTGGACCCTGGACCCAGGCCCCTGGACAAACGGGCTCGCATTTAGCCCCAGCAGAACTGCTGGTGAGGCTACAAGCAGCAGTTTCTTGTTATTAGGGTGGGACTTGACCACCAACTAGCAGCAAACAGGGAAGGTGGCTGTAGAAAGAAGAATTTGTCCAAGTTTTCCCCACCTCCTCTCCCCAGGAGCTGGATTGGAGGGGCTGAGTGATACTCAATTTACCACTCTTACGCTCTCCATCCCGAACTTCGGAACCGCAGGAGAAAGTCGGGAGGCTGTGTTGGACTATATTCTCTCCAACACCCTCTCCCCTCTCACTTTCTCTTCTCCCTTGGCCCACCCCCTAGCTGGTGGCCCACAATGGAGTTTGGCAGCTACAGGGCAAGGTGATCCTGTCTAGATTTTATAAACTGTACTAAGAGGGGTGGTAGCAGCGACACTAGGGAAAAGTGACCGTGCCAACTCAGGCTCAGAAAGAGCATCCGACGTGTCCGTCCTTGGTTCTCAGCTTCCTGTCCAGATTTCGGACCTAGAAGGTTCCCCACCTGCTTCAGGGCTGGGCATGGGGCAAGGGACTGAGCCTCAGCCTGACCTAAGCCAAGCTGGTGCCATGCCCTGGCCAGGCCCCAAAGACCTCTGGGCTGAGTCCAAATAGCCAGCTCCATCGTGGCATCATATGGATTTCAGGAAAGCTAAAGACCTACCGCACGGTTGGCAGTGCTGGCTCCCAGGCCCCTAGATCTGTCTCCCATCCCACGCCCCCTTGGCACAGAAGACAGGGCCTCCTAGGTGTCTGAGTGGGTGCTTAAGGCTGAGAATGGGGTTGGGTAGCTGCGGGCCAGGGGAAGCCTTGCGGGTCAGGGCAGCCCGGTCTGCATAGGCAGATATCAGGAATGTGCACTTTTCTAATCCTAGCTGTCACCTGTGCTGGAGCAGGGGGCTTTGGCCGTAAGCTTTTGGCCCATTGCAGGATGGGCCGGGTATTGTGTAAGGCTCCCATCCCCAAAGGGGGGTGGTGCCTGGAAATCTGGCCAAAACGAGGCAGCCAAAGCAGGGTGAACATCCGTTCCTTTAGAGCAGAGACAAGCAAGGGATTCTCAAGACTGGGGTCCAGAAAGAATTCCGGAAGGACATATTGGGGTCTCCTGAGCTAGGCCAAGTGAGCAGAGCATGGGCCCTGGAATACTGGACGGCATGGGGGGGGGGGGTGTGGGTAGCTTATGGAAGGGAAGGAAGCCTCAGACCTTTCTTCCCCACCCTCTCTGTCTCCTCCACCTCCCCCAGAGGCTCTGTCCAGAGCCCGCGGAGATGGTGCAGAAGCGCTGGCTGGGGCGGTGGGGAAGGAGGCCGGTGCAGAGGTGGAGCGGCCGGGCCCTGGTACTACCTGGGTCTCGGAGAGGTTGAGCTGCCGGGCGAGCTCGGTCCTCTCGCGGCCCACCACGTACTGGCAGCGCTGGAACTCCATCTCCAGCCGGTAGAGCTGCTCCGCCGTGAAGGACGTGCGCGTCCTCTTGGGCCGGTCCAGGTCCAGGCCCTTGGGCAGGATGATCTCTCGGATGGATCCCTTGGCATCTGGGGAAGGGAAAGGATCAGCCGCCAGAGCCCTCTGCTCGCCCTCCGCCTCTCTGGCCTGAAGTTCAGAGGTGGAGGGGGTGGGGGGAGCAAAGACTGTGTATTGGGGAGCCAGGGGCAACCGCCACACGCTCTTGGGAGGGAGAAGCAGGCTTTGCCTTTTGTACCACCCTCCGGACACAGAGGAGGGGGAAGCAATTCCAAATCCGCGTTGGGTCCTCCCGGCTTGGGGGGCTTGACTTCGTGGTCTGGGTCCCTGGTAGCCTAAGGGCCCCCACACTATCCAGCCCGGGTTGGCCAGGCCCCAGCTCTGGAGCGTGTCGACCGGACGGCGCCCCGGCGGTCCCCACCCCCACCCCTGGGTCTCTTTCCCTCCGGAGCCCGGGAGGCGGAGGAGG